AACAGACTGATCAATCTTAACTAGGTGATCAATAGAGTGATCATTACAGATCCCTTGTACACAGTCTATTCACAGTTGTGATGTGGTTAGGTGAGGGGTCTGAGAGAATATTGTTTTTCCCTCATAGCTATGGCTATATGCAATTTCAAATACTGAACAGAGATCCCATAAGAAGTAACCATTACTTTTTGGGTAAATCAATGTCATTTGTACATCAACAATCCAGAGATAATTTATATCTCCAACTTCTCACATTCTACTAGAGTAAAATATAGAGTTTCAGAGAGAAATTTTCAACATTACTTACCATTGTTAATGCATGTATTTGAAAAGATTTATTAGGCAGTAAATCTTCTAGCTGTAGGGCTATGATCCCATACCAATAATATTGTGTGGAATAATATTTTTAAAATTATTCATTGCCTAAGCACTTTTGATTCTGTAAGCACCTTTGAGAAACATACAGCATTGCAGAGGAAGAACTGGAAGAGTTTTTAGAATTAATTTCTGAAATAATGAAATATGACTTCCTCATATATGAAATAAATATATTTTCTAACTTAGGCTAAGAAAAGGTATTCAAATGTGGATATATTTTTAAACACTAGAGAACTCCCAATGACATCTTTTGAGTTTTTTGAGATTTTTTTGTCTGTTCCTATTATCTGATCTATGATAGATGATCAAAAGCATTGCTCCCTACTATTCCCTCGGAAATGGAGACTCCTTCCCCTCATATTGGCTTGGGGCAGAAAAGTAAAGTACGTGATAAAGGCAATTTTTTTTTTTTAATATTAGAAGTTAGAAGGTAAATATGGGGTTTTGGTTTTGGGGATATTTTCCAAAGGGAACAATATGATACAGGACACATATTTTATAATATTATTTATAATAGTCACCCAAAGACTACAGGAAATCTGTCCACACACTAAGACCAAGGAAACTAGCTAAGGGCCTGGATCCTACAGAAATGTCCTGCATGAGTCCAGCTGAGGACCTACAGCTCATAGTAGTGCCTCCCACATGTCCAACTGAAGGCCTAGAGCCCATAACAATATCTCAAGCAGGCCTGTTTCACAGATCTGTGCTGGGAAGGCCCAAAGGTCATGGTGGAATCTAGGAAGTCTGTGCCAGCGGGATGAAGGATCTGTGCTAGCAGGCTGAGGGATCTGCACTGGAGCCAAGAGGTGATGCACAAAGTAAGAACCAGAGCTCCCCTGAAAAGTACCACAGCCATCCTCAGCAATAGTGAGGTCCAGAGCTCCTCCAGTGGTGAAGAAAGCTGAGTTCCCATCAGGAAAGCCAATGCAGCAAGCTTCTCCTGGAGACTGGTAGTGCACCATCTTCCCCTCCAGACCTGGGCAGTGATGCTCAAAGTGAGGACTAGAGCTCCCCCACAGTGAACCAAAGCTATTCTCAGTGCCAACGAGGTCCTGAGCTCCTCAGAGGATGAAAACAGCCAAGTTCATCAGGAAAGCCAGCACGACAAGCTCCTCCAACAGAATCTACAGCACCTTACAGCTTCTACCAGCTCCCAGCAGCCTTTCTCTGCTCCCAACAGTTTTACTCAGCTTCTAACAGCCTCTTTCAGTTCCAAACAGTCTCGCTTCTTCTCCAGGTCTGCCTCTTATGCTGCTGGCAACAGTCCCCAGGTGGGCCTCCTACACCCAGCATCATGTTTACTCAGTCTAGCTGGGGATTATAAATTGACCACCAGTTGTCGATCCACTACATGTGGAAATGAAGTGGAGTGATGGACCTGCCTGAAGCATCTTTCCCCAAGAAAACATGTAGGCAGCGTGTTCTGGTCCACCATATTGCTAAATAACCACAGACCTCATAGATGTTTCAGTGCCACACGTGGGGTCTCTGGTGTCCCCTTTTGCTCTTAAAATGAGAGAAGCGCAGAAATGTGGGTCACAGAACAAGTCATTTACAACTACTTGAAGATATAAATATGAATGTTTTAACCTATCTTTAGGTTTTAAAAAATTAACTAAAGGCAGAGACCTTCAACACAGGTAATAGAAAATGGAGCTATTTTATGTCATGTGGCTTAACTTGCATATATATGAATGTAGAGTGGCCCACAGGTACATATGAACATGCAGATTTTATGCACATGTTCTGATAAAGGACTGAGGTCTTATCATTATCTCTGTAGTCTCATCTTTGATTATAAAGATAAAAGACATCTTATAAATGATCCAACAGTGATCCAGGATTAGCCTACATGTCTGAGAACAGCCAAGCGGTATAAATGCCATAGGTATAGACTTGGTTTATGTGAAGGAAAAACAATTTCTCAGTGCATGTACCACTTTATCAGTTGCAATTAATTTTACCTTTAATCAATTCCTCAATAAAAAATATAACTAATGATTTAATTTCTTACTGTTTTTCAATTTAAAAGTCAAATGTAAGCCTGAGAATTGTAGCATAAGTGTAGGAAAAGGACAGCCATGAATTATATTATTTTCTTTGTCTAAATCTTCAAGTTTTCTATAGAGATCATTTGCATTAGAATGTGAATTTTAGTGGGATTAGTCTCTCCAGGTCTTAAATTTAGGGTATGGAAGCCTTACAATGCAGCCATCATTTGTATGGTGCTTGCAAAACCAACAAACAGTTTATTCCTTTGATGGTCTATTACACAACATTGTAACTCTAGTTAGAAATAACGTATTCAATATTTCAAAATAGCTAAAAGAATGAATTTTAAAAAGTCTCATCACAAAGAAATAATAAGTATTTGCGGTCATGAATATGTTAATTAGCCTGGTTAGAGCATTTCACAATGTGCATATGCACTGAAACATTACATTTTACTTCCTAAATATATACAATTACTGTATATACAGTATATGCAATTATATACCTCATAAATTATTTGTCAATTAAAAATAAAGTTTACAAACCAGAATAATGATGGCAAAATACTTCAACTTGGAGACAACAGGAAAGCATACTGTTATTTACTACTTAGATAATGGTGTTTTTTTGAGGCCTTTAACCAAACTATTATAGACATCCTGCTTCCTGGAAGGGACCTCGGGAGGGTGAGTAAAGTCTGTTGGTACAGAGTGATGATTCTCCAATTCTTTGGTCATGAAAATTATTGTGAATCTCAAAAGAGATTTACCTCCTATATTGGTAAGGTATTTACCTCTTATATTGATTGATATTTACCTGTTTTAGAATTGTAAGCTGTTTTTAAGTATTTATTCATTTCAAACTAGTAATCATAATTCAATTCCATGTTAACATAAATATATTTTTAGAAGATTAATATCTTAAACAAAGAGTATTATTAATACTTGAATATTTTACAATTTTACTTTCATTGTAAAGGTATGGCTTTATTCAAAGCAGCTTTTTACATCTCCTTTCACATTCAATGTGCTGTGGTCACATAAGTCATAAATTATTTGTATCCTGAAACCTCCACTGTACATTCATAAACATTCGAGAATTAAACTTAGACAAACATTCACAAAAATGGTTTTGGCTGTCTGGAACCCTTGCAACTGTCTAGGTCCTGCAGTCATGTTTTAAGGATACTTTATGAAACTGTGACGTGAACAGTGATCTTTTGAAGCTTTTAGATAAATAAACCATACAAATAATTATATTGAGTGTTCATTCTTAACTTGAAAGTAACAGTTTTTTTATTATTTATTTATTCACTGGAATTCATTAACATAAAGAATATAAATTAGGTATAGTAATAATACCTCTCATTGTCACAGATATAGTTTAGTAGTTTAATACATTTTGGTTTAAGAGTATATAATGCCTAATTTTAGGGTTCTGCTTCTAAATCCAATCTATTTTCATTGCTGAGAAAATATTGGCTACCATATTCACCAAATTATGATTCTAACTTTTGAGCCTTTTAGTTGCTCATAAATTGCTTGTTAAAAAGCAATTTGTTTTTCTAAATCAGGCTAATGAATATATATCTTCCTTCATGTCAACAGTTTATTGTTATAAGTTAATTGAGCATTCTTTTAACAAACAGGGTGAAAACCCACTAAAATATTTTTGGAAAAAATTGAGAACAGAATAGTATGTTCTATTTTCATATTTTAATCCTATACAAGTGTCAGACCTTCATAGATTGTACACATAAAGCTTAGTAATATTAAAATAGAAACAACTCATTCATTTGTAAAACACTCTCAACACAGCTTGTCCAGTGTACTTTAGTAGCCCACTAATGATTGAATGAACAAATGAATAACTGAATGCATATATGAAAGGAACTTCATAATCCAAATAACCCATCATCAATTTACTACAGACATATTGATTTCTTAGGACTGGAGCTTCACTCCTCCTGCCTCATTTCAACCTGGACACAGGGTCTACACAATAGGTGGGTGAGAGGCTTTTGTGTGGCAAACCTTCCTCAGTGCAGCAAGAAAGCAGACAACCTCCGAGTCTTACAGAAGCACCATTTAAAATGTGGATGTATTCAGCTGTGCTGTGGGGAAACAGAGGCAGAGAGTGGCATGCGGCCACTAGACTCTAGCTGTGTTTGGAATTCTTTGATTGTCATTTAAACAGAAGAAGCCAAAACTATATGAGAAATAAATCACCAACTATACCCCATAGGTTCTCAGCTTTAAATAGTACACAACACAGAGGGACAAAAAATTAATAGAGAAAAGAGTGGAAGAAATAGTGTCAAACCTGGGATCTTATTTACACTCAGGTGTCCACTTAAAATCATCCATGTGCAAAATTGGTGGTAAAAATAAATATATATGGGATACACTGTATTTGCAAGCAGATTAAATTTATTGAAAGCATGTAGGGGTCAAATGGAAAACTTTGTTGCTTTTTCTCAGTAGAATCAGAGGAAAATGACTGTTGTTCTTTCTTGATCAAGTAGATTTAGGTTGTCATTTTGAAGAGACAGCATAAAAACATGGCCAGCAGCGGAATCCATTTCCATAGGAGGGCAGATTCAGCAGACACAGAGGCTATCGAGTTTTTCAGTAAAATCCAGATGACCAATATCTGCCATAGCAAGATGGGCGGCAGCAGCCATATCCATAGCCTCCATATCCCCCATATCCCTGATAACCACAGCCGTAGCCACAGCCGAGCCCGCCGAATCCATAGCCCCCATAGTATGGGCCGTAATAGTTGCCGTAGTAGAGCATAGTGTCAGGGGTGGATGGTTCAGGTGTGGAAGGCAGGCAGTTTCCTGAGTTTAGACATGACTGTCTTCACAAGATCTTTTATATTCCCTCAGCAGCAGGTGTGGCAAATCACGTGCAACATTGTCCTCATTAAAAATCACTTTGCATGCACCACAAATAATACCAACACTACAAAACTCTCATAAATCTCTTATTTTATAAGGCATAGTGAAGCCTTTTTGTCCAACATGTCTCTATAGTTAGGTCAAGATTCTCATAAACAAATGATATGCTTTGCATAGGAGTTTTTGTTTTTGACCTAGCTTTGATATCCTCCCTCCTTGAGAGCTCAAATTTAAATTCTGTGATAGTCTATGGAATTACAGAAACTATGCAAACAGCAAGTGATTCAAAGTTTAGAGTTGCTAACATTCTCAAATTCTTCTGTCAGTAGCAGATTGAATGAATTCAGTGAAATCACTGTATATGGTTTTAGAGTTTACCTAAAACATGAGAATTAATATTTCCCAATATCTCTTTAAATATTCAATTTTTTACTTTAAATACACAAGATGCATAATTTATAGGATAAAACTCTACAATTGCACAAATATACATAACTTTCTTGCATTATGCTAAATTCCATTTCAATTCACCATTTCTACTAGATAAAACCATCTATTCTTATCAATTCTGGGTTTACTCAATGACTTTCTAGCTCTCAGAATTAAAGCACAGTTTTATTAAAGATTTCACCACTGCTCTTCCTGATCCTGAGTGAATATTAATGTATAGTGTTATGGGGGCTGGGGATTTAGCTCAGCGGCAAAAGCGCCTGCCTGGCAAGCGCAAGGTCGTGAGTTCGGTTCCTGGCACCGGAGAAAAACCAATGTATAGTGTTATACTACTGGCTGGGGGAAGCACCTTCACCTGTCCTGTGCCAATATCTGTGGAGTCTATTGCTATACCCCTATAGCCAGAAAAGTCTTTGGCTGTGCTATGGTGTTCAGTGAGTTTAGGCACACATCCACCAGAACAGACATTATTTTGTTCATCACACGGCTATCTGTTTGTGCTAGGTTTGCTGGGAATTCAGTGAAGCTTGCTGCACAGAAAAAACAGAGTGCCCTTTTCCACATTTAAATACATAGCCTCAGTGTAGGATTTACCTTCCCTCCACCTTGTGTTCTAGAAGTCTACTAAATGAAGACTCCCCATGTCTGCATTTGCTTGTCCAACTCAGCACCTCTGCAATTAGAGTGTATATGCAGGAAAAGAGTTTGAAATAATAACAGCAAACACTATTCTTATACTTACTATGAGCCAGTCAGTGTTTTAAATGCTTGATATAGATAGACTAATCTGATTCTCAAAACGGCCGCATGAGTTAGGTATTATTATCATCCTATTTGCAGATGAGGTAACTGAAACACACAGTTTTACTGGTAACATCTCTGTAAGTGGGAAAGGTAAGAGTTAAAGCAGAGAACTTATTGCAGAAATATGATCCTGTCTACAGCTCTATCCTGATTTGAAGGGAGTCATCTTCCTAACAACATGTTTTAGAGGGCGAGTTGTCTTAATGTGGAGAAGCTCAAGCTCCAGGGAGATTATCTTAACTTGTTGTACGTCAGCAAAATTATTGGTTGTCCACAGCATGTCAGAGTTGTCTATTAAAATGCTATTTTGGGATTGAGTTTGCTTACAAAAATGAATTTAAAATCTCATCTGGATGAGACATTTATTCTCATTACTGACACACAGGTGATTCAGATGAGAGTAAACAACAGGAAATTCCTCAGTGACTCCAAAACCAGGCTTTAAAACTGAGTCAAAACATTACTCAGTTTTGTTTGGTAATTTAGCCAATGGCGACTTGTGTAGTGGGTCCCACCCGTATTTGGGACATATAAAAGGCCCTCTGCAGGGAGCATTGTCCACACTCAAGTCACCTACACTCCTCCTCTACTCAAGCAGAACCTCAACAGCCAACACCATGTGTGGCAGCTACTACGGAAATTATTATGGCGGCCGCGGCTATGGATGCTGTGGCTACAGAGGCCTGGGCTATGGCTATGGAGGCCTGGGCTGCGGCTATGGCTCCTGCTATGGCTCTGGCTTCCGCACCCTGGGCTGTGGCTATGGCTGTGGCTATGGCTATGGCTCCCGCTCTCTGTGTGGCTGCGGCTATGGGTGCGGCTCTGGCTATGGCTCTGGCTTTGGCTACTACTACTGAGGACACCACTGACGACTTTAACCTTCTGCACCTGTGAGATCAAGGTTGCCCTTTCTGAAGCCGGCATATCTGAGCCTCACACTTGAGTGACAGTGATCCTACAGTGGGAGTCTTCCATGTCCTGTTGTGACCTGTGGGACCCAACAATTCCCTGAATATTCTTGCTGAATTTGGACAAAGTGAAATTCTCTTGAGAGCTCACAGTTCTTTTGTCTTCAAGATGATGGTGCGATCATGATGGAAATTATTTCTCTGTTGCCCTAATAAACATCTTTAAACTATAAGCGGCTTTTAATCATTTTATTTCCAATATTACCATTTTTCATTTGGGTTTGCAAGGCTATGAAAATAATGAAATGATAACTAAACTTCTTCCACTTTTGTAAGTATGTGTTAAAATAAATTAACATTTTTGATTGTATCATCCATTTTTAATATATGTCTTAAAGAAATTTACTTTTTCAAAAATTGGAGACTCAACCTAAGAAACTATTTAATAAGTTGGTTCATCCTAACCTACTAATAGATCATAAAAGTGTTTGGACTCAATGGTAGCCAATAATTAAAAACATTTTTTATGAATAAGACGAGAACTTTCAGGGTCTCATAGGTCTGCAGTTTATCATGGTGGATAGAACTGAGTCCGTATCTTAGAGTTAGCTGGGGGTAGCTCTACTTCTAAGTTGGTTATCATTGGCAGAATTCAGTTCCTTCCAGAAATAAGCCTAAAAGGCCCCTTTGCTTCCTTGCTGTTGACTTAGTTCCTTGGCAGAGTCTCTTGAACATCATCTTGGCCCAAAATCTTGCCCACAGAGCCTTACCAAGTAGGTTCCTAAATGTAACTGTTTATTTTCTCAAACCATAAAAGTCGGGGGGGGGGGAGATAGAAAGATGAGTGGAACAATCTTGTGTGAAATAACCACAGGATCACTTAAACCTGATCAGATACACTTGCCAATTTCTATTAGTATCAGTTTAGGCACACCCACTGGGAAGGATGTCTGCATGGCCAGTAGAGTCAGAGGCAGGAACTGGGAGGGCATGGGAAACATTTTCCTATCAGTACGTCAACATGCTCCATCCTTCACTGCGGGAATTAAGAATTTCTTCATTTGCAGTGCCCTTCGACAGATTATAGGACACTCGGGTTTTCTTGGTTTTGGATATTTTGTAGAATTCTCCTGAGGATTATCTGGATGTGGGCTTTCTAATGGGATGATTTGCTAATTATTTTCCCCATTACTTTCAGAGAAATAGGTCTGTTTATGATATCTAAGTCCAATTTGCCATTTTGGTAATTTGTTTCCCTAAGAAATTATCCATTGTATCTAAATTTAGTTTCCTTTTTCTTTCTTGTTCTTATATTAGGGTTAGAAATCACTGTTATTTTCGATGATGTACATAGGAGGATGGATGGAGATAACTTCCTCAAGGCCATAGGTGCCTAAAGCTGTTTCCACAGCCCAGCCACTCTCAGTCACCCCTTCTCCATGCCCACTTGTATGTCACCTCCCCATATTTGCAGTTCCTTTCCTTTTATTTGCATGTGTTTGTGACACAGAATAGTCACATTCATTTTGGAGTAAGTTTTTATGCTAAGGGATCTGAAAGCCAGCCTTGTGAAGTGTCACATCACTTCTCTTTCAATAGCTATTTTTCATTTGCTTTTGTTTTTTACATTGGCTTTCTCTTCAGTTCTTGATCAAGTTAGCAAGCAGTTTACAACTTGTCATTCTTTCAATTCAAGCATGTGAGTAAAACAATCATTTCATTTTATAAGTCTACTCTAGTCTCTCCTTTTCTATTGATATTTCTTTCCTGCTTTAGTTTACTTAGGTGACACTTTCGCATTTTTTGAGGTAAAATATTATCTTTGATTTATCTTCTTTCATTTCCAATAATATTTCCTTCATATATATTTCCCCTAAGTATTGTTTTAAATGTTTCTGGGATGAAGTATTTCCATTACCAATAACATGTAATATTCTATAATTTTCATTTTATGTCTTTTTTTAATGGAAGAATTTCTGCATTACAAGTTAAAGAATTTTTCTAAATTTTTGTTTAATATGTTACCTTTTTGACTTGGAAAGCACATTTTACCACTATCCCTACTTTTGGAAACTTGTTAATGTTTTCCTTGGAATGTATGTCTTTGGGGCTAATCTGTGAGAACTTGAGATTTATTTTTTAAATGAAGTTTGATATCTATCTGCAGTGCTACCTTACTATGTTGTTCTCCTACTAATATAAAAAAGTTCATTTAGTAAACATTTTTGTATTTTTTGTGATGGTACAAGTTGGATATCTGCAAATTTGTTGCTACTTTTTTTTCACCATTCTAATTCTTTTTGTTTTGGCTTAGTTCCCCTTCTACTGTCCAGTTTTCACAGATTTCCCATCCTTTGCTTTTTGGTATTTTTCTTCCCTTGAAGTTCTGAGTTATGTCAACTGTCCCTACAAGCCATGCATGCTTTTAATGTCCTTCTTTATCATCTACATATCTACAGTATTCCTTTGCTTTATGTTTTGTTCTCTTTCCTTTCCTTTCTTTTTTTTCTTTTTCTTCCCCTCCCTTGCTTCCCTTACATTTCCTTCTCCTTCCTTTCTGTTCTAATTTTTGCTATTGTCCTCCCTCTCTCCCCCCTCGCCCCTCCTCCGTTCCTCCCTCTATCTTTTACAGTTTTTCTTATTTCATTCCTCTTTTCCACCAATTTTAATAATTCAGAGTGATTTATTTTTCTTGTAGGTTTTTTCTTTTTTAATGAACCTCTGAACAAGTTGT